ATGCAAAGATCAGAAAGTTCAAATCAGTCTTGATCCAGCAGCGACACCGCAAAGTCTAGCTAAATATTAAGATCGCGCAATCCCTTGGCCCGGAATTCCTTTGTGACCCTCTACTTAAATCTATATCAGTGAAGTTCGAAGTAAAATAAAAACTTTTTAAAAACACAATCCGCTACCGCAGTTGTTTAATTGGCGCCCAACGTGGGGCGACGTTGTCTAAAAAGCACCGAATGATAAAAGTGTTGCGTCGTGCCGAAACCCGAAGGACAATTAATTAATGGAATAAATCCTTCAAAATTAAAAACGCGGAGTGACTGTGTGATATAGATAAAAAAAAGTGAGATAAAAAGGAAACAAACCGGAGCTTAGGGTGTGCAAAAACAAATACAAATACAAATACAAATACAAATACAAATACAAATACAAATACAACGCAAAATACAAATAAAACAAAAAGCTAATCAAGGCAATTCGTAAATACAAAAAAAACCAAAGAAACCCAAAGTTTTTAAAAAAACAAAACCAACAAAACCGACAAAACCAAAATACAAAGAAAGTGAAACGATCAGCGAAGCCAAAGAAGGAAGACCCCCAGAAGACCCAGCTGAGCAAAGAAATTTAAGAAGGAAGACCCGTTCGAAGATCTGCCAAACTAAGAAGGACGACCCCTACCGGATATTTCGTGAGCAAGAGTTGTATTAATAAATATATAAGTTCAATTAGGATATATAAGATTATAAAAACTAACATATAAGAAAAATTAAAAGTGGATCAGCTAACTTTAGATTTTGAAAAACTAAAAATGATTAACTCTCAAGCAAGGACCGATCTCACAGCAGATCTGGTCAAACAATTGATAGCACTTCAAATTTCACAAGTACAAGAGCAAATTGTAAATTTAAAACAGCAAATAGAAACTAAATCCGATCAGGTATCGGATTATCAGGCAGAAACAATAGACGAGACAATAAGAGACGACACCACATTGAAGGTAATAGAATCCCTACCAATTTTTAATGGTGGATTAAACCAATATGTAGGATGGAGGGAAGCTGCAGAAACTGCAGTGAAGTTATATAAGAAAGGAAGTAAGCAATATTATATTGCATTAACAATTTTGAGAAACAAAATAACAGGACCAGCACATGACGCACTGACCAACCACGGGACAGTTCTAAATTTTGATGCCATACTTTCACGGCTTGACTTTGTTTACAGTGACAAGAGACCTATTTACATAATAGAACAGGAATTAAGCGTTCTCCGACAAGGGAACCTTTCAATTATAGATTTCTATAACGAGGTTAACAAGAAAATGACCTTGTTAATAAATAAGACAATAATGACTCACGGAAAGGACAGTGAGATCACCAAGGAATCAAATAAAAAAATTAGAGACAATGCCTTACGCATTTTTGTCACTGGCCTAAACGGCGGCATTGCTGAAATCCTATTTTCATTGAATCCCCCAGATTTACCGAATGCCTTAGCAAAGGTACAGGAATTGCAATCTAATAACATTCGGGCCCAATTTGCCTACCAATTCAGCGGTCCCAGAAATTCAGGGAATAATAATTTTAATACCTTAAGATTCAACCAACGACAACCTAGGACTAACAGTTCACCATTCGACCAAAAAAGGGATTTGCAGAGGAATAACATGTCTTGGGGACAACCCTATTTCTTGGGTAATAGACAACAAAATCAGGCCCCAGAACCAATGGAGGTAGACGAATCTATACAAATCCGGAACCGACAGAACAGCAATCAATTCAGGGGAAATAATAACAATAGAAATTATCGGGAGAATACTAACGGTTATTTTAGGAGAAATACTATTTAATGAATAATTTTAAAAGTGAAACTTTTAACAATTACGCACAAATAAATTTAAAGAGTACCTGTTTCACCAATTTACTTAATGGCTTTAAAGCCAACTGCACTAAAAAAAGGGAAAAAAAACAAAGAAATAGACATCATTCAGGATGGTGCCATATTAGTTTCAGGCAAAAATATCGTAGACAATACTACTTTGTTAGGATCGTATCTCCTTATATTCAACAACACAATTGTAATAAATAATATAAGCCACATAAATGATAAGGGTAAAATTCTAAAATATATATCGCATCATAGATATAGCGATTTTGAATTAGTTGATTATATACAATCAAATGATAAGCAATTTTCTTTTGATAATGTTAATATTTTAAATCCCCTTATAACATTAGGTAATACGGCCTTACCATTAACAACATTATTTTTAATCATTTTGATATTGTTAATGTTATTTTACTTCTGCTATAAATTAACCAAATTTGTACTTATTAAATCAATAAGAATACCGTCAGAAGAAATAGTGGAAAGCAACATTCAAATACTGTCAGAAGAAATTAGAGCTCTATCAGAACTTCAAAATGTATCGGGACGAAACATTTAAGAATGGGGGGAGTTAACGTACCCAATTCCATTGAGCTCTTATACGAGTTGTAAACAATCTTTGGTTTTCCAAAACGAAAACAATTTCAATCTTGGGCCTCCGCCTAATTGATTTCTAAGATGTACAATCTCAAGCGCCCCCGCCGCAATCCCATTCTTTGACACTCGCCTAAATGGAAAACCAATGTTTGCCCACACCCGGCTTCTCATAAACAATCTCACTCCCGGCTTTCTGCAGATCCTGCACTTTAGGCCTTTTACAGTTCTCTCTTTGGATGACGAAATCTAATACTCGGGATGGCGAAATCAATTGAAATGTTTATAGAAAAACGATTCCCGAAAGGGATCAACGATGCAAAGATCAGAAAGTTCAAATCAGTCTTGATCCAGCAGCGACACCGCAAAGTCTAGCTAAATATTAAGATCGCGCAATCCCTTGGCCCGGAATTCCTTTGTGACCCTCTACTTAAATCTATATCAGTGAAGTTCGAAGTAAAATAAAAACTTTTTAAAAACACAATCCGCTACCGCAGTTGTTTAATTTGTATGTATTCCCTGACAAAGAATATTCATTGTTTTTGTGCGGCATTTGAATGAATATCGTTTATGCATGCAGTCCACACGAAATGCATGCAAAATCTATACGAAAGCTGGAAACTGTTGGAAATATTCTGACACGAGCCAGACATGTGGGTTCTTTAGAGAGAGTAGGAGGAGCTGTTTGGATTTTTATAGGAAGAGGCGCACATTACGAGTTTTTGTATGTTATATGGAATAATTACAACTTATTCTTATTCTATGGTTCTCCCTGCCATCTTCTATAAAAATCGTAATTGATATAAATACATGTGTGAATGGTATCACTGATAATAATGCGGTTGTAATATTAAAGATATACCCGTTCATTACAGAAAACTCCAGGGAATTCCTTAAGTAATCCATACCCCTATGACATCTGGTGGGGATGGAGGGGCTTTAGTCATATTCATTATGAGGCTTTCAAGTGCCACTTTTCAGTGTTTTCTCAACTGTTTTCACAGTCGTCGGCGCTTTTCACTCGACACCCACTCCGCCACGCCACTTCACACTCCCCACTCATCAGCCAGAGCCCTGCCCCAATGTGATGGGGTCCCATCTACGCAGTTTGCGTGCCCTCTCTCGTCCCTCCCCGTCCCACTGGAAACTATTGACATGCTGAATATTTATTTGCATAAAATGTGCATGTAATTGATGCTTTTTCATGCCATTAAATTATTGTTATCCTCCCATTTATTTGTATTATGATTATATTTCGTTTTTGATTTTCAATGCGGATGTTTTTTCTGTTTCGGTTTCATTTTTGAACAATTTGTTGTTGATGAAACGTCTGCCGGGTGCCGGCTTTTGTTCCTACATATATAGATCGAGTATCTGTATCTGTATCTGTACGGTATAGATTGACTCAAAATGACTTCCCTCAACATGCGCGTGAAATCGATATGTTCCGTGTGGGGTTTTTGTTTTAAATTTTTCGATTTGTTTTGCAAAATATTCTGCTGCTGCTGCTGCTGCTGCTCGCATTTCCTTCTCTTCTCTTCGCTGAAGCCCTTGAATTTATTTATTTTGTCAATGCCAAAAGCGGAAAGAATTGAAAGGGTTGGATATTGGATACGAAACCATTTTGGAGTTGCCCCCTTTTTTCCCCCCCTTGTTTTGCTGTTTACTCGATTCTGGACGGAAATGCAATGCGCAAAAGGTGAGAAAAACTCACCCTTCCCCACAGAGCAATCGAAAACCACCGCGTGGCAAGCGAAAAAGTATCTATAAGAACGCCAGCCAGCCCCTACCCCAAAAAATAAAAGAGCGAGCGAGAGAGTGTGCGAGATGAGTGATAAACAATAGTGTCGTAAAGTTTTTGCGTCGCAGCTTGAAAATAATAAAAGTCTGAGAAAAGAAGAAACAACAAAAAAAAACATCACGTACATATGGATTTTTATTTTTTCTTTTTCAAATAAAACAAAAACCGGCTGCTGTTTGGGGCTTGTCCAAAAAATTCAGTCAAACATTTTGGCAAATACAAAGATGATCAAATATATGTATATATATGTAGATAAAGTGGTAGTAGGGATGGTAGGGTGGCTGGAAGACCGTGTAAATTGATGGGAAAACACGGCCACAAGAGTCGACTCGAGTCCGAGTCGCGCGTCAAAACAAACAGAGAGTCGGCTCGAGTGCGAGTGCGAGCCGAAGGCAAATGCTTATAGTTACGACGTCGGCAGGCAGATACATACACGCACAGACACAGCTGTGCCGCCTGTGAATGACAGATACACAGCAGTCAAGCCAAAGAGAACGAGAGAGACGGCGAGAGAGCGAGAGAGTTGTGTGAGAGAGAGGCTCTCCCATTGCGCATGCGGGCTCTTGCTGCGGCGCTGCCATTTTATATAAAATCTCCGCTAGAGGAGAGTAGACTCGGAGTCGCCAAAAAACCTCGCTACACGCAACATCGCTACAAAAATCCAAAAGAAAGAATTAAATATATTGCTTGAACAATTTATATATACATGTGTGTAACAGCAATAATTATTTTTACTGTAACTAAAAGCCAACCAAGAGACTTGTGAATTATATTAATTCCAAAAACACCGCAACAAAAAGCCAATTGAAACAAAAGCTCTGCTCTCGCACGAAAAAAAAAGCTCTGCGCCGGTCTCGTAAATCAGTCTGAAAAGCTAAGCAGCAGATTCAGTTATTGCTAAACTTTTGCCACACAAACAAGCCCAAAAAAGGAGAGCTGAAAAGAAACAAGAAGCAAGAAGAATATTTAAAAGTGAAGTGCTGAAAAATATCAGAAAATACAACACAAAACTGTGATCCAAAGAAAATAGAGAAAAAAAAACCCTGAAGTTTTGTGCCAGTGCAAGTGCAGGGAGAAAAATATCCACTTTCCATAAACCAAAAAATCCATAAAGACAGACCAAAAGCCAAAAAATATGATGGGTACAATGTCGCTGCGCCAGCCCGAGAACTGGCTCTACGAGATCTGGCAGAAGGGCTACGACAGCCCCTGCTATGTGATGGTGCCCAATGCAAAAGTATGTATATCTAGAGACAGCACATCCCCCATCCCATCCCATCCCCCCTCCCTCTCTAACACCCCGGTCTCTCTACCTGGTCTCCAACTGAGACTAGATGCAATTTTATTGATTTTTTCCCGCATATATTTGGGCCTCACGGAGGCTGTGTGGCATTTTTTGTTGGCAATTTTTCAATGTCGTCAAAGCCACAAAAAAAAATAATGTGAAATCTGGTAAATGAGAAAAAATGTGTCCGTCACTTGTCAGAAAATTACTTTAGCTAATGTGCAAAAAAAGAAAAGAGTGAGGTTTCAATCATTTCATCATATCGAAAATCCTTTGTTCTTTGTGACAAAGGAGGAACCACCAGGGTTCGTTTTGTCTCGGTTCGGTTCGCTTCCTCTACCTAAACAAGGACCCCGACAAGTGTACACCACAAAAAACGAAAAGAAAAAAGAAAAGAAAAAACCTCAGCCTCAGCGACTCTCTGGCTCTTCCGCCATGTTTGTTTGAGAAAAATGCAACCGAAAAAAAAAACATTCAAAACGAGAAAGACAAAAATTGAGAACTGCATGAGATTTGGAGAGAAGAGATACCCACAAGAGACGGTCCGTGGAGTGGAGGGAGCGAGAAGCGCGTGACCTGACCCCAAGACCGAACCCAACCCGGTTCTGTTCTCCAGTGTACAGACAGGCACTCTGTATGAGTATGTACCCTCCTTCGCTCCCTGTATGCGTGCACGTGTGTGTATAATTAGCATTGCTTCAGAGGGAAAGAACGAAACAGAGACAGAGAGAGAGAGAGAGAAGACTGCTTCTCAAGTGCTTCTTTACCTGTCCAGCGGTTAATTTTATCTCTGTCAATAAATTCAGCAATTCCAGGCCTTATCTTCGGGGGGATTGTCTGAGCAAAAACTGATAAGAAATTGAAAGAATAGAAGGTCCATAAATTGTGCAAAGAAAATTGATAAAAGATGGAAGGAATGGCAGCGGGAACAGATCACATCTGGACTTTAATCTCATCAATAAAATAATATAGAAATAATAAAAGACAAGAGCAAAGACCAAGCCATAAATCACGAAAATTATACGAAAGAAAACAAGTGAAAAACAAAGATCTAGACAAGACATAAACTGGGAAAGAAAAAAAACCAAACATCCAGACACACCTGCGCTGTCGGGCACTGCGACTGGAACCACAAATAAATGATATACAATGTACATATTTAGGTCTGTCTGCCGTGTATTAATTTGTTTGTTTTTTTACCTTGCTGCTTTTTTGCACCTCATTGTTAACAGAAAGCCGAGCAGAACCAAAGCAGCTTTAACCGGTTTGCGTTTGTTTAATGCGGTTTCCTATTTATTGTTTTTGTCTTTTTCTTTTTTTTTGATTTGCACCGATTTATGCCTCAACTTTTATCAAATTTTGGCTGTCGGCCGCTGACTTCTAATTTTGGTAATGCCGATTTTTAATGAGTGTACACGGATCTAAAAATAAAAGTGGATATTTTTATAAAAATAATTTATTAGCAGCGAAAAAAACGTGCAGAATACCCTACCCCCGTATAATTTCTCATTGCTCTTTGGTATATACTTTGTTTTGTTTTTTTGGCACTGGTGCCAAGGCAAAAACCATGCTCCGAGAACATGCGACGGCTTTCCGATGGCTTTTCATGCCTCATCCTCATGGTGGTGCCCGTGCCCACTGCCCTCCCTATTCGGGGTGTGTGTGTGTGTTATATATTATCGTGTAGAATGTGAGAAGGTATGACTAATGAGAGCTGTATGAAATAAAACGCGCGCCCGGTTCAAAATTGTTCAATTAATGGGCTTTTCATTGGCAATACCCTGCCCATGGGTATTATGGAAATTAAGAGCTGATCTCTATAGATTTTATGGGGTATTTCGAGCTTCGGCTTTCTGCCCGATTCTTCTTGGGGATCTGCTAAATATTTTTCGTATAATGACGTGCCATGTTTCTTGCCTGACGTACTTATGAGCTGATTATATAGCCTTATCCTTTGGCTGATTGCTTCTTTCTTTGGGATTTTTATATGGTGATGGCCGACGACGCACAGCATTTTTATTTCGCTCGCTCGTTCGACAGAAATCAGGCCACAACAACAAGAAAATGTCGAAAGAAATTGTTGAAAGTGAAGACGACGACGACGACGACGAAAGCATCCAAGCGGGCAGAGCCAGAGGCTGACTATTTATAGAGATGGTTGCTGCATGGGTGGAGCGAAAGAGAGAGGTGGAAAGAAAACTCTCTCATGAAACGGAACTAGAGAAATGTCATCGACTGTGTGGTAGCGGAGAGCCTATTGACATTTCCCCATTTCCCATAAAAAATGGCTACCCACAAATTCACCTGAACACGTGCCTCTAAATCCGCCTGCACACCTAAAGCCCATAGAAAGTGAGGGTCTGGGAATAAAAGAGAGTTCGAATGTACCCCAGACATTGCTCTCCCTCTCTCACTCTCCTTTGTGCGATTATTCTAGAAAAAGTGATTTTTGCCTGCTGCACTCGTTTTCCTTTTGGCTTGTGGCTGCTCTTTAATAGGTTTATTAAATTTTCACAAGGTGTAGCCAGGAGAGGGGGGGTGCGGGCCCAGGTGAGCTGCTATGTGGTCAGGGTCTGGGTTTTCGGTGACGTGTTCCTCCGCTGCATGGCATTGACAGTGACACGAGCGAGAACATATTTGATTCTTTTGTGTGGTAGGAGGGGGGGAGCCATTTACATTTACACAGCAAATACATCAAAATAGCCGCAAGAGGAAACACGTCACATTGAGCAAACATTGGTTGGTTGGCAACAGAGGAGCGAAATGCGATTTATGAATGGGGCCACAAAACAGAATGAAAAGGGTAGAAATGCGCAATAAATGTTAAATAACAGACGGCTGTAAGAAACCCCACACTGTGACTGTAACAGAAGCAGAAGAACAACAGCGGCAATGTTAAATAACAGCCGGCTGAAATGAGTCACAGTATGTCGGGTGTTGTACAAACAGCAGAGTGTCTATTGCTATCTTGTAAGTAAATATTCATTCTATGCATCATACTGATAAAGAAAGTAGAGATAAAACCATAAAAGAAATGTTCCCTAAGTCCCTAAAAACTGTGTAAAAGATTTTCCCTTAGTAGAACATAGAATAACAGAGAGTTGTGATCTCTCTGTTACTAAACAAAAAAATACTAATCAACACTCTCCTGCTTCTTGTACTTTTCTAGGATCTGGTCAAATCGCATCTCATGATCGCCGTGCGCGAGGAGGTGGAGGTCCTAAAGGAACGCATCTCCGAGCTAATGGACAAGATCAATAAGCTGGAGCTGGAGAACAACATCCTAAAGTCGAACATACCGCAGGAGACGCTGCAGCAGCTGCAGATGCAGCTGCAGATCGCCGGCACCCAGCAGCCGGCGGCAGTGGGCGCCCCCCCGGCCACGCCGGCCATCCAGGCCCCACCTGCAGCGACAGCGGCAGTGGCAGTGGCTGCTGGCGCTGGTCAGGCAGCAGTGGCTACAGTGGGAGCAGCTACCAGTCCCGCAACGGCAGCGGCCCCCACAACCATTCCCAATGGCAGCGCTGAGAATGGCAGCAGCGTCATTGTCGATGCAGTGGCAGCGGTGGAGCAGCAGGTGCAGTCAGCAGCAGCAGCAGCAGCGGCAGCGGCAGCGGCGGCGGCGTCTGGACAGACAGCGCCTGTGAACACGAACGGCCCCATGTCCTAGGCTGTGGGTGTTAGTGTTAGTTTTCTCTCCTGGAACGTAACATGGCCGAGGCGTACACAGACCCGGCCACTGGAATGTGGGAAGAGTAACCGTAATGTAAGCTCAACTTTGTCTCTTTCGAATGCCAGCGTCGCCGCAGCCTGCGGCACACGGACCGAGCAAGAGGGAGAGAGCAAAGCGAAACTCAGAGCAGGACGGCAACAATAACAGTAACAGAAATAGCAACAGCAAATGCAAACCATTTAACAGTCTGCAAATGAAAGTATTAGTTAACAGCGAATGTTGTCTGGACATGTGCTATTGTTGCTGGCTGTTCCTGTACCGCTGTGCAGTCGCTGTTTTGTTAATTTCTCGATTGTGATATTTGTTTAACACACACACAGACACACCACCACCACCACCACCACACACAACACACACATTTAAGCAATTCATACACATACAGACCAACACACAACACACATAGACTGCACGTTAACAATGGCTGCGGCTGCATGCTGTTAACGTCTGCTGTTATGCTTAACAGAAGAAGATGAAGAATTACAGTTAGTTTTAAAGAGGCGCTGCTGCGCGGAAACAGACATGATTTTGTCCACCGTCTTTGTTTGATTATCTTTTATCCTTGTTTACCGTTTGTTTCCATGTTATTAACGCTACAAATAAAACGTGAAAAAACCCCAATATAAAATAAAATACCATGTAGATGTATACTATGTAATGGCCACAAAATAATACTTGCAGAAAGTAGAATTTTGGCCAAAAACAGCAGCAACAGAAAACACACACACGCAAATCAATAAACTGTAAAAGAGAGCGCTTGGGAAATGCAGAAAAAGAATAAGAAGATGAAGAAGAAGCGGAAGAGGATGGAAGGATGAAGGAAGATGGTAGAGAAGGATAAAGAAAGGAAATGTAAAGAAAAATATGTGATAATTTGCATTGTGCAGTCAGAGACATAAGATGTAAATTGTAAAAAAGCAAATAACAAGAGAAGCGAGAAAGTAAAATTCAAATTTCCACACAATATTTAAATATGATAAAAAAAAGCCAGCTGCTATTTTTATAATTTACATTTAAAACCTTACTTTTATTGTACAAAAACAAAAAACAAAACCAACAACAAAGCAAAAACCACACAGAAAATATTAACTAAATCATAATTATGCATGTTTCAAATTTAAACAACAAAAAAAAAACGAAAAACACGTAGAAAATTGTCGTAGTTTTAGAATATTTTCAAGATATATTTTTAAAAAAATTGTAAAACTATTCGCAAACCAAACAAACACGAAAGCTTATCACAATTGTTTGTTAAAATTCTTAATCAATCAACAATAACTGTAAATATTGTGTAAAACTTAACTCAAATTGAAAATTGAAAATTGAGAACAAAACAAAATTGAAACAAAAGCAAAAAACTTCAAAAGTGACAAAGAATACTGAGGATCCAATGCAAAGAAAAAACAAGGAAAACAAAACCCGCAAAACCCAACAAAACGAAATGAAAAAGTTAAACTGTAAGAAGAAAGTGAAAAAGGTCGTCCTATTTTTTGTTATAATTATTTAGTTGATAGTTTTGCATTAATCTTTATTTCAAAATGCCTCGATGTTTATACAAAATCTGTTATAGGATTTTTTTCCACATTCGTTTTTCGTTACCCCCTCGCACTCGAACACCAGACCACCAGACCACCAGACTACCAGACTCCCACAAGAAGAAGAAAGATGAAAAATGTTTTGCTGCAGCACAGATATAAAGGTGTGAATCCCCCTAAAGGCAATGCTTCCAACAGGAAGTCATTCCCTGCTGTTCGGACCGTATCCGCCCCCTAGAAGCCAAGTTTTGAAATGCCAGAACGCACTCACTCATTTGGGGCACGGCAGAACAGCCTGCCCCAGCCCTGCCCCACACTCAATGCAACCTGCGGAGACTCAAATTGTCTAGGGTTTGCGTGGGCAGGAAAAAAGGAAAGCTAGAGAAAGAATGGTAGAAATAGAAACCATCCAAAACGAAAAGTGAAAGAAGAATGTTGTGAAACCAAATAAATACTCTCATTGAAGTGCTCAAAACTTGCGTTCTACCCGGCGGATACACGGACGGACTACCCAAAACCCATAGTAATTCTGTTCAAAGTATTTTTCCCATGATTTTTATTTTCAATTCATGTCTAGTTTTCCTCCTATGATTTCTACATTTTAAGTCTCTTTTTAAGCTTAACTATTAATTTATTAATTAGTTTGTAAGTGCAGCCACAATTGCAAATAAATTAAACAAAACGATACAAAATCAACTGCAAAAACACCTACAATTAAAATAAAGGAAAAAATAAAATTATACTGAAAACCAAAATATGTGCAAAAAGTGGATTCTCAACGTTGGATGGGTGTCATCTGCTTTGGAGTCACATGCAACGTTATTGTGAGTAGTGGCCTCTAATGCAGATGGTTTCGGGCCGACGCGATGAAACACCCCAGACCATGATCGAAGCGCTACCATGTTTAACGGTCTTCTTTGTGTATTTTGGATTTACATTTTTGTTGGGAGGACGTCGTTCACCATCACTTCCAAAGACAGTAAACTTGGATTCGTCGCTCCAAACAATCACATTCTAAAAATGGGGACCTTTGTGAATATACTCTGTGGCGAATTGAAGCCGCTTTTGAACATTCTTGATGGACAGCAATGGGCGTAGGTCCCACGGCGAAATGTACAGAGACATTCTTAGTAACAATTTATCTGGAGAATATGCCGATAATTTGCCACTTGCCTGGATATTTCAACAAAACAACGACCCGAAACATTTCTGCCAGATAGACAAGTCGTGGCCTAACCAAGAAGGAATCAATGTTTTGCAATGGCCACCGCAGTGACACAAAAAATTCGAACTGTGAAATAAAATTGTTTCTTGATTTTCGTTTAAATTCTTGGTGTTGTTCTTGTGGCTTAAGTCTTTGAGCACCACTGTAGTTACGTCTGTCTGTTACCTACCACGCGCTTACGCGCTCTATCTCTCTCACCAACACTCTTCCTCGTGCAGTGTATCCTATCCTATCGTGCAGTATCGTAAAGAGGCTAAAGGCTCTTGCCTATCCCATACTTTCTGGCTGTTTGAAAAAGACGTGAAAGGTCGGTAAGATATAGCAGGAATGGAATAGATGCGCTGTAAAACACGATGTCATTATTGCCTACTTTCAGGCCGAGTCGAGTCCCCCAATGTTGCAGTAAAAATTCCGCAACATCTGGGCAACATATATGATAATCAGAGCTTAACCTACAAAGCTTATTGAGTCGATTAATAGCTGCAGGCATTAGGTTTTCAGAATTGAAAAGTTCTTCAAATTAAAAACCAGAACAATAAAAAAAAAAATATATGAAAGAAAATTGGAGTCTCAAATCTATCAGAAAAAGTGGGTCTGATCGATCAATTAGTTTCCATTGCTTCACACGCCTGCATCATCCTCCAACACTAGCTAGTGTTTTTTGTCGTTCCGAGGATATTGTACACATTTGTGTATAGTCCTTAAAACCAAACCAATAAATGCTATTACCAATTCCGATTTAGAATGAAATGAAGAATACCTTTATTTGTTCAAATGATTCGTTTCTTGATATTAGGGTTTTATCTAGACTAAGAAATATAATAAAAAACTTTAGAATACTTTGTGTGTGACCGCGTCAGAAATCCGTTTCGGGACTTTGAGGTCTTCCTTCATCCAGCTGCTTGTGATCAATAACCTCCGTTCTTTGGACAGGAGGTGGAGTTATCGGTGGAGATGTTTCTGGAAGAGCTGGAACAGTTGTCGGTGGATCCGTTGCCGGAAGAACAGGAGGAATTGTTTGCTGTGGCTCCTCCAAGAGCTGAACCTGTGGCTGGGGCTGCTTGTCTACAACATCATGACCCAGATCAGCCACTTGGCTGGGGGCATTGAAGGACCTAAGGGTGCCCAACTGTGCGCGCACATCAGTCTCGGAGAGATGATGCACTGGGACATTGGCAGGAACGGCCAGGCGCTTGGGAGAGGTGTTGCCATCGTTGGCCTTGCGTCTGTCCGGAGGAAAGATCACCTGGGCATAGGTTACTCCACTGCCGTTGGGTTCAACAATGCTTTGGGCTCCACCGGAAGAGGTTGTCACGGAGCTGGGATTCCGAAAAACGCCTACCGGTTGTTGAGCTTCCTCCTTGGGAGCATCCCGTCGCTGCATGGGTGATGCGGAGGCCATGGATGTGGTTGTCGTGGTCAGGGGGCTGCCACCTCGTGGCGCAGACGCCGAAGCGGTTGTGTCCTCGTGCGGAATCGGGGCGTACAGCGAAGGCGTGTAGTTGTTGTCCGTCACCTTGCAGTTGTAGAGGTTCAGACCCTTGGCGAAGATGAACACCAGAATATCGAAGAGCACGCCAGTCAGGATCAAGCTGGCGGTGAGAATGTCCAGGATGTTTCCATGCTTCGGGGTCTCTCGGAGCAGACAACGCTCATAGTTGGGAGCCCAGTAGACGCATGTGGAGCCTGTAAAGGGAAAAACATGAGCAAGAAGCCCGCAAGAAGAGTGTGGACAGTACTTACGGGTCACCAAATCGTAGCTGAGATGCACGGGAATATAGGCGAAGAGTCCGACGAGCATCACCTCGAAAGCCAGTGCCAAGGTCTTGTCCTGCGGCAGGACGGCGCGTAGTGTTATCAAAGTCTTGCCAATCGTCATCATGCCCAGCAGGAAGGCCGACGAAATGCTGAAAATCTGGAACAGGATGATGGTCTGCTGGCAGACGTCGCCACTACAAGCTCCGGCCGTGGCACGCATCAGGCCCGAGGTGTTCTGAGTCTGATCCCCACTGCAGCTGCAGCCCTCGAAGAGCTCAAAACTGTTGATGGAGGTCTGCTTGGTGCAGCCGGCGTAGCACGGAGAGAAGTACGTAATGCTACTGTTCTCCGGGCACACCGGCATGAAGGCGGTGGGCGTGCACAGGCATTGGCTCGAGCAATAGGGCTGACTGAGCTTGCCCCCGACCACGCCCGCAATTGCCCCGACATCGCACTTGAGGAAGACGAATCCCACGAAGATGGCAACCAGGTGGAGGCCCATGCCCATGTTGATCCCAACGATGGTGCGGGCCGAAAGCTGAGCCTTGGAGATGACCAGTCCCCCGATCAGCATGCCCACTGCCATTACCGGAGGCTTGAGGAAGTACGAGACGAAGGCAGAGCGCCACTCCTCCGTGAGACCATCCTGCTCGTTGTACGGCAGGAAGAAGCGACTCTGCAGATAGCTCTCCTCCTGCAGGCCGAAGTTCACGATAGCACTCTGGACGAACATGATGCTCACGAGATTGACCATCAGCAGGCGGTTGTTGAAGAGCCGCTTCATCGAGGGCCAGAAGTCCGTGTCGTCCAGGTACGTCGAGAACTGGCTGCCGAAGCTGCGCATGTTCGACTGCTCGATTATCCGCTGAGCGGCTTGATGGATCACCGTCTTGGGCAGTCGCTTCGGGAACAGCCCCACCATCACGGCTCCCACAAATATGAGTGGCGCCAGGATTGCCCAACCCAGCCACCAGCCGACTTGGGTCAGGCCCACGCCCAAGACCAGAAACGATCCCGCCTGCTGGCCAAAGACGCGAGCCGCCAGCGTGGCAGCAATCACCGCCGGACTGTCCTGGGACAGGGAGTTGTCGTCGATGTAGCTGACGCCGATGGTGTAGTACGCCAGTCCGCCCATGCCCAGAGCTAGCTGGAGTATGAAGAGCAACACCAGGGTGATGGTGCTGCTCTGGGCCTCTGTCAGCGTCAGTTTCTGGAACTGCGCCAGGGAAGTCGCACACAGATTCGCATCCAAGAGAGCATCCTTTGCCTTGGTCCCATCAGCACTAAAAGAGGTTTCACAGTGTTAGAGGATAGATAATGTAAGGTTACTGTATGCTACTTACAAGTTCATTATGTTGGGAATGATGGCGATCACACACGTCACTGATTGAAGCATCAACGTGCCCACCAGCCACTTGATCGGATGGAAGACATCCGCCCAGAAGGCGAACACCAAGGCAAACACAGCCTGGCACAGGCCGCTAGTCACCAGTAGCCAATCTATGGGTAAG